CGATTTCAGTTTTTCATACTTGGATCGCTGGTGAGACCGTCGAGTTTTGTTTCCGCTGCACCATGGGGTGCGCTGACGGTCCCAACAATTATCTTAAAATAGCTTTCATTGAACACAAAAAGGGTTTTTCATACATCCAAAGGATCATTACATATAAGGGATAACTTTCCCTCCTAATTTCTCTATCTCCTTAAAAAGCCAAGTTAATTTCCATTTATGCTCCAGAATCATATCATAATCCTGCTTCAGTTCCATTGTAAAACCAGCTAAATCCACCAGCTTGTGGGGTACCTTGCTTGCTTGGGCAGTAGCTTTCTTCATGTCATCTTCTTTTTCTTGAATCTTACTAGTCATTTCCTGAATTTGTAGATAATGTCTCTCATTTTCTTTTATTAGAGAACCTTTATGTTTGAAAGGTTCTTGTACCAGATCTCCGTAATCATCCACCATTTTCATCAATATGTGGTTTTGAGCTCTAGTGGATTTTAATTCAGCATTAATCTCACATTGATAGATCAGGTATGAAGTTTCCATGTGGCCTATATCCTTCTTAAATATCTAGTTTTCAGCTTGACATTTTTCCAAATTGGTAATGGTTGCATTGTATATTTCTTCAGCAATTTGAAAGTCATAGGAGAATTTCTTTTCTTGATCCTCATGTTTCTTTTTCCAATAACCAGCATCACTCTTCAATTTAATGATTTCTGTCATCCATTCTTTAGGGGTATTTCCAAGTCCAACATTTTTAAAAGTTTGATTGACTTTTCGAAAATCATCAAACATGGCTTCAACCTCTATGCTCAGTTTCTTGTTTTCGTCTTTCCAAAAACAGACTTGAGCTTCATAAAAATTCTCTCCCTTGTGACTACTTCTATTGATGCTCTTACCATAAAATGCTTTCGGTACTAGTCTAACAGGATTTTTATGTGCATACCCCTCCATTATTTTAAAAGCTTCCTCGAGATATCTTTCTTTGGCTGCTTCACAGTTTACTTGATCATGAAACCTTTTGTCCATAATGACCCTCCAAAAATAATCCGATCCAAGTCAACTTCATTGTATAAGAGAAAGAGATACATGTTCTCGCCTAAATATGTGATCGATATACATTCTATGGGGTGCCAATTGTTTGCCAAGGTAGTTGCACTGTTTGAAAATTGATTTACCTAATAGTGAGGAATCTGCCAACAAAATAATGATCAAAAGAGATTTGTGATGGGCTATCCGATTGGCCAATGATTAGAACTTCCTCTTTCTCCTCCCCTCATTTGAGTTCCTCCAACTCCTCCTCCAAATCCCCTACGAGAAGAGGCTGTCAACAAAAATAGAAAAACTAGCAGAACTAGAGACTGAGAATAAACTCAGAAGACGTGCCAGCCCAATGCTACGAGCATCGGGAATCAAAAGGGATCTTCGAAAAGTTGATCATTATGAGTGTTACGACGAATTTGATTGGGAAATCCAGTGGCAAAAAGAAGAAGATTCATTAGCTCGTTATTTAGTCCGAATTAATGAGATGACGAAATCCATAAAAATAATTCAACAGACCCTGGAAGGAATTCGGGGGGTCCCTACGAGAATTTAGAAATCTGATGCTTTGATCGAGAAAGGGATCCAAAATAAAATGATTTTGAATATCGATTCATTAGTAAAAAACCTTCTCCCACATTTGAATTACTGAGACAAGAGCTTTATGCGAGAATGGAAGCCCCAAAGGGAGAATTATGAATTTTTCTTATAGGGGATCAAAGCGGTTTTCCTTGGAGATGGAAAATTTGCCCGCCGGGTTTTATCAATTTGCAAATTCTTCCTCAGTTAGTTAAAAGAATGAATGTGCCAGGCACGACAGAGGAAACCCTAGCACAGAGAAAACCGTAGCACATAGGAGAGTTTTGCACACCAATGGTTTTACCCCCTCCATCTAATATCATATTTATTTAATTTTTAAAATCATATTATTTATTTATTTGAAATAATATTATTTTTAAATTATCTATTAAAATAAAATATAACAAGACTAGATGCATTAAGATTATGGTTTTTATCTCTACCAATTATTATTTGATATGCTATCACTAAAAGATTTTCACAAATGTCAAATGTCAAATAATTGAAACATTTAAATTATGTAAAATGTCAAATATGAATGACATAATATTAAAATTATGTCAAATGTTTAACTTGAACCATAAAAAAAAACTGAAACATTTATTAACATTTAAATCTTACGAATGACTTTTTACCATATAATTTTTATGGGTTTATTTTAAGGTATCAACTTGCTCATTTGTTAATATTGCAATAACTGTATAGATTCATAATTTATATTCTAACATATACTTTCTATGATCTTACAAACAAATTATCAATTTATCATATATTTTATTTTAATTAACAGTATGTCATGTTTAATAATATGGATTCAACATAAAAATTAATAATTCAAACACAATTAAAATATATAAATATTTTAAAATATATCATAAAAATTATTAAAATATTGAAATTTAAAGGTATAAAATTCTTTAAACACAATTATGAGATGATATAATACATAATACAAATAAAATAAAGAATTCACCAATGGGGTTGGTTCAACTGGTAAACAACTTAATTAGTGGAGGAACATCATGGTAGAGTTTGGGGGGCAATTTAAAATTTTAAAAAATTTAGAGGTTTAAATTAAAATTTTTGAAAATTTTGAAGGGTCTAGATTACATTTTTTTCAAAAAAACTGAGGTCTAACCTAAGTTTTTGAAATTGTGAGAGGCTTAATGAGAATTTTTAAAAATTATGGAGGGGTTTAATTAAGAATTTTCAAAAAATCTAAAGATTAATATGAATTTTTAAAAAATTTTGGGGGCCAAATAAAATATTTTAAAATTTTTGAAGGCCTAAATTATAATTTTTCAAATTTTGAGGGGTCGTGGGCCCACTAGCCACCATTGTGTTCGCCATTGAGCTTGATATCACTTAAGTACATTTCGAGTTCGAGTTCTTATATATGCAAAAAATCTCTGCTGGAAGACTCGTCTATCAAAATTAATTGTGCGACACGACTATATTCGAATTAATCAAAGCAAAACCCTAGAACCGAGAACCAAGAAGGCAACCAAAAAATAAATAAAATAATGAATTCATGATCACATATTTTCTATCACCAAAAGTTTGGCAGTAAATGTAAAGCTTTATGATTTTGCATATTTACATAAATTTTCTTTGACATTTGTGTTTGGCTTCTAAGGCCTGCTAATTGAACTATATGCAAAAATACCCGAAACTGAAAATAAAAATAAAAAAATAAAATATTAGATGAAAATGTCTTTAATGTTTATAAGATTCCAAAATTGGCAATATTTTATTGAGACCTGACTAAGCCAAGGAGAAGCACCCAAGTTATTGAAACAAATGAAAATGGGACAACCAATGCCTACCAGATTCCATCATTTTTCTTTGTTTTTAACAAATAATTGTGTCGATGATTCAATATACAATTTTAATTAATCAAAACAATGAAAAAATTGTTGAAAAGTTGAACTCATCAAGTGACTTCAGTGGTAAAAGGGAATGTTATTTTTTCAAGATATCTTAAGTTTAAGCAGTTACGTCTGTGGTGTGTACATTTGTTGTCAATTAATTAAAAGAGTTCTGAGCAGATAATACCTTATAATCCTGACGAGAAAATAGATGAATTTAAAATGATGGTTTAATGTCGAACAAAATTCTCATTCACAATGTGGGAGAGGTAATATTCTTAAAAAAAAAATAGGTTTAATTATTTTCAGGTGCCTTTTAATTTTGGAATTAGACAATATTTTAAGTCTTGTTGGTTCAAGAATTATGTGAATTAGATCGTAACATCACATTTTTAATATAATATTCATTATTTTTCCTTTGTTTTATTATAATGTATTTTTGTTTTTTCTTGTTTCTTTTACTTTTAATAATTCTACCTTTATGACATGTATTCTTATGCCTTTAAGCTACGTTTTCGATTGTTTGGTCGTTATTTTTGTTTTTCCTTTTTTCATGGTTGAATTTGACATTGCCACAACTGATCAAGATGACACTTATTTGTTATCATGTTGATATTCCCCGCTTTGAACCTTCAGATTGAATTTCGATACACAATTTGCGTTCGTGGATAGTATTTCCACGTCGCACTATTCTGGTTTGCAGTTTGTCGGTGATATTTCAATAGTTTCATCCTTTTTTGGTTCATTCACCAATGCATACAGATCTATTCGTATTTACTTTTTGTTCGAGTTTATTTGGTTAGGTTTTTAATTTTTTCTTTGTATGGTCCTTGAGTGATCTTAAGTAGTTAGTTTTTGTGTTTAGAAAAATGTCCTTATTACGCGTTTAGTTTATGATTTTGGTTGAAATCTTTCATTGTAATTTGAATATTTTTTTCTTAATAAAATTAGTGGCTTTTTATAAAAAAAAATGTTAGCGCTGAAAAAATATTTTATATTTTTTTTGAAAATTTTATTCAACAATAATTATTGATTGAATGATAAAGAATTTTATAAAATTAAACACATTTTTAGTTGAATAGTTTTAATTGTTTTATTTAAGGACTATATAAAAGTATGAAACGAAAAATATGTCATTGCAATAAGCGATAAAGCAATATTTAGCAATTGAACTTGACAACCTTTTAAAACTGGTCCCTAAATTTTATTTTGGTTCATATTAGTCTTTAAACGCAATAATTTACTCAACTTAGTCCCCAAATTTTATTCTTCATCCATATTAATCCATGAACTTGATAAATTACTCAATAATAAGGGATTTGAACCCTTTACCTTCTAGTGCCTCATCCCACTAGACTAACTAGTTGTTAGTAATATAATGTTTCATTAACACATATAGAAATAAGATTCTCACCGATTTTGATAAAAGTATCATACGAAAAATCTTAATACGTTTAATTATATTTACTATAATGCCCCCCACTTGAGAGTTGAGAGAATATCCTGCAAAAAGAAAACAAAAACTAACATTTCAAAATTGCTTCTTGGGGATAACGAAAATCTCTCTATAAAACCAACATAAGCATATGTCTAAAGTATAATACATAGAGAAGTAATTAAACAGTAGAAAATGGGAAATCCTCATATTCTAGCGATACCATATCCAGCACAAGGCCATGTGATCCCTCTAATGGAGCTCTCTCACAGGTTGGTCGACCATGGATTCAGTATCACATTTGTCAACACAGATTTCAATCACAAGAGAGTAAGGGATTCATTTGGCGACAGGGTCGAAGACGAGTGCTCAATTCGTCTGGTTTCGATTCCCGACGGCATGGAACCCGGGGAGGATCGGAACCACTTAGGGAAGTTAACCGACGGAATCACTAACGTGATGCCACCGGAGCTTCGGAAACTCCTGAAGAAGATTAATGGAGTCGGAGATGATAAGATCAGTTATGTTATAGCTGATGTGAACATGGGATGGGCACTTGATATTGCTGCAGAGTTTGAAATACCTGGAGTTGCTTTCTGGCCTGCCTCCGCCTTTCTTTTGGCCTTGCTTTTTAGCACCGACAAGTTGCTTGATGATCAAGTTATTGACGAACATGGTAAATAACAATCAAGTTTACAAGTTTGGGGTTGAATTATAAGATAAGATTAACCGATATTATTTGAAATTTGATTTGCAGGAACGCCAATCAATGGAAAAAATATGATTCAGCTGTGCCCAAACACACCTGCAATGCACCCGAAGAACTTTCTGTGGGTCTGTCTTGGTGATTTAACCACACAAAAGAAAATATTCGAGTTCGCCAGAAGAAACAACAAAGCTGTTGAAAATGTAGAGTGGCTAATCTGCAACACAACTTTCGACCTTGAGCCTGGAGCATTTAGCTTAATCCCTGAGATCCTACCTATCGGTCCACTTTTAGCAAACAACCAACATGAACCCTTGACGGGGAGTTTCTGGCCTGAAGACGAAACATGTTTGAAATGGCTCGACCAACAGCGACCAGGATCAGTCATATATGTGGCATTTGGTAGCTTCACAGTTTTTGATCCAATCCAGTTCCAAGAACTGGCTCTCGGCCTGGAACATTTAAACAGGCCATTTCTATGGGTTGTTAGACCAGATATGACTGAAGGGACTCGATGTGAGGAACTTTACCCTAAAGGGTTCAAAGCAAGAGTCGGCAGTCGAGGGAAAATGGTGGGTTGGGCACCCCAACGAGCCGTCCTGGCTCATCCATCCATTGCTTGCTTCATCAGCCATTGTGGCTGGAATTCAACTGTTGAAGGGCTAAGCAATCGGGTCCCTTTCCTTTGCTGGCCATATTTTGCAGATCAGTTCATTAATGAAACCTACATTTGTGAGATTTGGAAGATTGGGTTGAGTTTTAAAAGAGATGAAAGAGAGATTATTACCAGAGAAGAGATTAAGAGTAAGATTGAGCAATTGGTGAATGATGAAAGTTTCAAAGAAAAAGCTCTTAAACTAAAGGGATTGGTGATGAATAGTGTTGACGAAAATGGTAGCTCCAACAGGATCTTCAAGAACTTCATTGAATGGATGAAATCATAGACATGTTTTCACCTTAATTTATGCACTGTTTTTTTTTATGCTTTTTCAATGAATTACGACAAAGTGTTCTGGGTGATAAAGAAATTATTGTTATTCCTTGAGGTCCTAGGTTTGAGCACAAAAAATGCCAGAGATGTAAACAATCAATATCAAATGGTTGAGAGTTATATTTTAACAGATATTTTATTATACTTATCCCAAATTAATTAAAAAAATGCTTTTTCAATAAATAAATGCAAGTATCAATTAAGGGTATGTTTGTTTCTATTTGTTTCATTGTAAATTGGTTTTCATAAAAACATTTTTTTTAATTTTTCAGTATTTGATTGATAGAAAACAAATGATTAATGTAATTAATTTTATGCTTCAATGCACAAAAATCAATTAGATCTCATTGAAAATTTACTACATTCAATCACTAAGATAGCTATTTCTCCTATTTCTTTATATCTCCCAAACCAAATACTCAAATCACCTACTGAATAGCCAATGAACATAAAAAATCATCAATCTACTTCTAGCCAAAACATAATTAGCTCCTCTATGAAGATCCAATTCTGAAAAATAAATCAAAATTGATAATTTTTAAAATCATGTTTTAATATTTATTTTACATATTTGTACTCATTAGAAACAATCAATACAACATCAAAATCATTTAGAAACCTTGCTTTAAAAATCAATAACGAAAATATAAGATTTGAGATTCAATTCTTGTATGGAATTTTCATCAATTTTGGAAACCATAATTGGAAGGACCTAAGCTTGATATAAAAGGCATTATTAATATATAGAAAGATTGATTAATGAGAATTTACCTTGTTGAAAAAAGATAAACAAAAATGGAGTAGTTTAGATAGAAAAATGAGAGAAAATAATTTAGTTTCAAAAGAGAAAAAAGGGGGAAAATGAGAGGATTTGGGAATTTTTAGAAAATGGAAAAAGTGTGAAACGAGTTGGTTCGGATTAGTTTTGAAATATATATATATCATTATGGGTTATGATCTACTTACTCAATGTAAAAACTTTAGTTTTACATTGATTTTGGATTGTTCGATGAGGAAAGATAGACAAGTGAAATTATCTTTTTATTTTTTTATCAATTAATATCTTTTCATTTCTTACTGTTAATTTTAATTTATTTTCACTCTGTAGACAATGTTTTTCGCCCGGGCGAGGAAAAGACCTATACCGACTCGGGGGTTTACTGTTTGAAAAACATTTTAAAATGCGAGGAGTCGCCACCAATCATTTAAGGTGCAATTGGGACACCATAAAAACCGGGTAATTTTAATAAAACGTCTTATTTTTATCAAAATACCAAGTTTAAGGTATGCGAAAATCCATAAATCAGGTTCGGAAGTCAGTTACGCGTGGGAAAGGATTAGCACCCCCACAAGCGCTCAAAAATTGGTACCTAGTTGATTACCCTATGTTTAAAATTGAAAATTTTGAGTTCAATCTTTATTTAATTTGAAAATCATTATAGATGCAAAGTTGAAAAGTGTATTCGTTTATCAAGACCGATAACATTCGCTCTCAAGCGTAAATGCGGGAGATCAACTATTGTGCCTAATAACTGAATATTGCCTCGTTTTTAGAAATCATGATGTGGTCTTTGAAAAGGATGTCGACCTATTTTGGGAATCACCAGTAGCCACCTCCTGAGCACACTTACGGGAGATATAGTATTAATTCCCTAATAAGTGAACATTGCCTTAGGTTTGAAAATAAAATGCAATCAAACAAATTTTTATTCATCTTAATTATGATAAGAGTAAATTAAAGTTTTTTCTAGCTTAAAGTGTCGAATTATGAAAATTCAAGAACCTAGAGGCATAAACCGAGAAGTATATGTTCTAATATTAACCCTATTTGATTTTTAAACTAATTATTGAATCGAATAATCGAGATGGTCCATCAAGCATTTAGGCGAGGACCAACTCGAATTATTCCCTAAATTAAAAGACTAGTTTAAAATCTAACTAAAAGTGGAGGATCTATTCAACCTATTTAATTATGTCGATATTAAGGCTCTAATTGAATTTTGGGGACTAAAAGGTCAAGATCTAAATATATTGATTTCTAAAAGATCTAAAAGCTTAGGACCTAAATTGGTAATTTCTAAAGTTGAGGACTAAATCTAAACTAAAAGCCTAATTATTATCTAAATTATTAAACCTAAAGTATTTTTTAGAAAGTATTATTTATTAATAAATTTTAAAAGTCGAGCAATTGATTCGAGTAATCAAGCATCTTATGCGACTCGAATTGCTCCCTAATTAAACTAGACTGTCATCCTAATTTCTAAGTTCGATTCGAATGTTAATCTAATATAAGAAACTAAATCTAAGGATTAAACTATGAGATAATTAAAACAATTAATAAACTTAATTAAAAAATAAAGTAACAATAATAAAAAAATAGTAAAAACAAAATTAAACAAGCTAAATAAAATAAAATAAAATAAACACAAGTACAAGGACCTAATTGAATAAAATAAAATAACAGTTATTAAAATGAAAGAAAATAAAATTTAGTAGTTAAATAAGAAATAAATAGTGACCAAAATGCAAAAATTAAAATAGTGGTAGCTAAATCAGAAATTAATAGTGAGTAAATTAAAATAAAATAAAACAGAGTGATAAAATTGAAATAAATTAGAAACAAAGGGTCCATTGACCAAAATGAAAAAAACACGGCAAACATAGGGGACCTAGAATGAGATTTTACCAAAAAAACAATACATGTAAAATGGGAAAATTAGGAAAACAGTCCTTGACAGTAACTATTTTATAAAAATGAGGGAAAGTTTGGAGGACTTAAAAAGAAATTATACCAAAAATTATAAAGCATAAATAGAAAAGGGAAAATTATAAAAACGGTCCATTCCAATGACCATTTTGTAAAAACACGAGAAAGTTTGGGGGAATTAAAACATGATTTACCCCTATTTTTTTCTATAAATACAAACATTTTTCTTTTTTTTACAATTTCATTTTTTGTTTTTAAATTTTTTTAGAGAGATCCTCTCTAGAAATTCGGCTGTTGTCGGTCGTCGGTCCTTCGTCAATCGTCGTCTCCGTCGCCGTTACCTCTGATGGCCATTGGCCACTAAATTTTCGAGTTTTTCTCGTCTCGTCATGGTGGCCATAGATATGGGCTCCGTTTTGCGAGAATCGACCCTTAGCTCCACTAAAATGACCGAGAGCCCCTCGACTTCTACCGCCCAGATCTCTTCCATCCGTCGTTGAATCGTCGCCGTTCCGAGGTATGTTGCTCACTGAAGGCTCCTCTCCCTCCTGAAAGTTCGGATCTGCGAACAGATGTCTCCTCCATTGGTGAAGCTATGGCCGAACGGTATATTTCTTCTCCCTCTTTTTCTTTTTTTTATGTTAGTTCGAAAGGAAATAAACAGAAAAAAAATAAGAATTATAATTTTATATTTAGTTGCTGAAACAAATCGGAAACTTTGTCCTCTGTTATTGTTTGAAGAAAATGGTGGGGAAAATTAACCCCTTTACATAGATTCTCTTTTCGAATCGGGGAAAAAGAGAGAGTTTTACATTGCTTTAAGGAGTTTAAATAAACCATTCCCGAGTTAAAAAATAAATCCCCGAATTTTTTATATTTTCGTTGCTTGTATGCCTGTGATTTTAATGTAGCTGAGCTGGGATCAGTTGGTGGCAGCATGGAGATGGCAGAGAGGTAATGGTAGCAGTTGGGGATGAGTTGGGATCGATACAGCAACATTAATTGGGGCATTGAATGCCCTAAATATTCAGGGATTGTTTTCCCCTTTCTATTTTATTATATTATTTTTATTTATTATTTTGTTATGGGTAAAATTGGTGATTATAATTACCCCTCTTTGCTCATTGCTGTGAAACAAGAATAGAGCAAATACATAAATCACCAATTTTAACTGGTCTGAGTGCTTGAAATTATTGAGCTATAAGTTCTCCTCATCGGGCGAGTTCTTCTCATTATTAACTCTTCGCTGGGGATGTCAATCCACTCCCTTCTACGATGGGTAAGACCTGATTGAACAAGTTATTCTCATTATAAACTTGTTCTCTGGGAAACATTGACCCAACTCCTTTGCGATGGTTGATCCAAAGTGATGCTGATCCAACTCTATATGTGATGGACGAGCGAAATGATGATGCTAATCCAACTCCTTATGCGTTGGAATTGAGCTAAGGTTGAACAAATTCTTCTCATTATGAACTTCTTCTCCCTCCCTAGATGAGTTCTTCTTATTATGAACTCTCCACTGAAATATTGATCCACCTCCTTCTTTGATGGAATCAAACAAAGTGATGATGGTGATCCAACTCCATATTTGATGGATGAGCAAAGTGATGGTGCTGTTCCAACTCCTTATGTGATGGAAACGAGCTAAAGTTGAACAAGTTCTTCTCATTATGAATTTTTTCTCCCTCATAGGATGAGTTCTTCTCATTATGAACTCTCCGCTGGAAATGTTAAGCCAAGGTCGAATAAGTTCTTCTCATTATGAAATTCTTCTCCTTCATTGGATGAGTTCTTCTCATTATGAACTCCCTACTGAAAATATTGATCCAAGGTTGAACAAGTTCATCTCATTATGATTTTATTCTCATTATGAACTCTTCACTGAAAATGTCATTCCCTCAAGCGAGGCGTCACTGATTCGAAATGTCATGAATCAAGTGATAGGTCGAGCAAGCTCTTCTCATTATGAACTTCTTCTCCCTCTGTTGGATGAGTTCTTCTCATTATGAAATCCCCTCTGGAAATGTTGATCCAATGTTGAACAAGTTCTTCTCATTATGAATTTCTTCTCCCTCGTCAGATGAGTTCTTCTCATTATGAACTCTTCACTGGAAATGTCAATCCCTCAAGCGAGGCATCACTGATTCGAAATTCCATGAATCGAGTGATAAATTGAATAAGCTCTTCTCATTATGAACTTCTTCTCCCTCTGTCAGATGAGTTCTTCTTATTATGAACTCCCA